CTTTTGGATCCCAACTCTATGGAAGGGATCTTAAAATTTTAGTTACTAGTTCAAAGTTAGAAAAACCTTTACCAAGAGCTTTGAGTCCATTGATGGCATCCGTGAAACGGGTGTACATGTCTCCGATAAACTCACTTGATTTCATCCGGAAAGTTCGTAAGAATGCACAAGGATGTTGATTTTGGACTCTCTCACTCGGCTAGTGCCTTCATGAGTGACCTCAAGAGTTCTCCAAATATCAAAAGCCGAATCACAAATCGAAACGCAATTAAATTTATTTTTGTCAAGTGCGCAAAACAAGGCATTCATAGCCTTTGCGTTTAAAGCATAAACCTTCTTCTCCGATTCATCCCATTCGCTCATCAGAAGAGAAGATTTTTGAAATCTATTTTTGATAATATTCTAAAGCTCAAAATCAATGAAAATAAGAAAGATCCTCATACGAGTCTTCCAATACGTGTAATCTGACCCATTAAACATAGGCGGACGTGTAATAGAGTGACCCTCTTGCATACCGGAGTAAGCCGTCTCTCTTGGGTATTAGCCAAATATGAGAGTGAGCCTTGCTCTGATACCAATTATTAGGATCGAAATGACACTAAGAGGGGGGGGGTGTGAATTAGTGCAGCGAATTAAAACTCGTAAGTTTGAAATTGATTTCATAAATGTGTAGAGATTTCGATTCGATGAATGATGACTTAGCTAAAATAGCTCGAGTAAAGGTAGTCAAGAGTAGGGAGATGAAAACCGAAAGATTTACAGCTAAATAGAGAAATTGTTCAGAAAATTAAACACTCACACATTCAAGGAACACCACGATGTATAGTGGTTCGGTCAAATGACCTACATCCACTTTCGAAGCCTTCTTCGATGAGACTCTCAACTTCCACTAGCAAATCACTTTGAAGGGGAAGGACCAAATACCACTCTTACAACCTTCTTACAAGTAATTCACACTCTTATAGATTTTTCCAAAGAGAAAGAGGGAGGTAAACACTTAAGCTATTGAAAATAAGACTTTGCTAGAGCTTTTTCTCACTTTCTAACTTCTCAAAAAGGTGTAATCTCTGCTGAGAATTGAGAGATATTTATAGGCCCCAAGAGGATTCAAATTTGGGCTCCAAATTTGAATTACTTTTGGGTTTCCTGGTGCTAGCAGTGCCACCGCCTGTCAGTGTCTGACACTAACAGTGTACTGATGGTGCCACCGCTAGACCTCTCGGGTTCTAGGCGGTGCCACCACCCAGTCCGCCGGTGCCATCACTTGGACTATTCCAACTCATTGGTTGGGCTCCAAACTTAGCCCAAACCAATCCAAACTCGGGCCTAATTGGCCCCTAACCGGGTTATAGGATTAACCCTTAACCCTAACCCAAATTATATGCAAACTATGAAATTAAGACATAGCCCTAAGCAAATTTTTAACCGACAACGTTGAGTTTCCTTCCGGTGAACTTCCTGCGGACTCCTAACAGGCTCCCGGTCTTATGGCGAGTTCAACGAGTCTTTGGCAAGTATCTGAACCTTCTCGGTGATCTCCGCGAATCTCCGACGATCTTTTCGGCGGACTTCTGAAAACTTCGACAAGTCCTTGATTCTTTCTCTGTTGGTTCCGGCAGCACTTCCGATAATTCTTCGGACTTTCAGCGGACTCTTGAACACCCATCGAACTTGACTCTGGTAAACTTGCTTTATGTCTTCAAGCTATCATAATTAATCCTGCACACTTAACTCAATAATATGGATTAGATCAATTAATTCATCAATTGACTTCGTTATCAAAATCCGAGATTCAACACAAATAGCACTACTAATTTAGTTCTAATTACGTTGAATGTATTGGCGAGCTTCTTGAAATCATGTGATGGACCATGAACTGATTCTGTTTATATAGTTGTGGTAAATTCTTTAAGCTAATAGTTTAATTTTTACAAGAGATACAAAGTGAAAAAATACTCACCAAGATAGAAATTATTATGGTTGATAAGTATTTTAGGAGTCCTAGTTAGATTCTTTCTACTTGAGAAAAATTATAGTTAAATTCAAATTCCTTAGTTGATTAGGATTTGAATTTGATAGGTATTACTATAAATATACTTTGAGTTTTAAGATTTTAGTGAAAGAGAGAGTCAAAGCATTTTGATTACTCTTAGGGATGATCTATAGAGTTTTTAGAAAGAGTTAAAGAGAGAAATTCTTTATGTTTATAGGAGAGGTAGATAAAAGGAGTCATATTTGAGTGTGGATAACTCTAGAGCTTTATAATTGATTTCATATATTGAAAAAAAAATAGTTTTCTTTGTAGAGATACATGGGAGTTACGAAACCACGTTAAATCTTGTATCAATTTTTAAGTTCACTTACTTGATTATTGATTTCTAAAATTTTCTTTTATTTTCAAATTTTCTCCTCTCCCTCTCCAATATTTCAGCACATTTCAATGAAATACAATGAGATTGAGTATAAAAAATGCTATTTTTTATTGACAACCTCAACTTACTTATGAATATATAAAGTAAAAAAATATATTTTACCAGATTTTGGTTTTTTTTCTCAGCATTATTTTTTTCTAAATCTTGACATACATATTAAAAAAGAGGTTTAGATTTAACAAAAAAATTAAAATGTTATTTTTCGCAACATAAAAATTATATGCATCCTTCTAGGAAAATTTATAAAAAATTATTGAGATTTTTATAACTACCCTATTTATAAAGAATAATATAGCTTTATTTTTTATATTTTATCATAACAACTGACATTTTATGGGATGGCGCCTCGTTTTAACGTTGGGTTTTATCACTTGGACAAAAAAACCCTCGTACTTTTGCTCAAATGACTTTCTGTTCCTATCAAATACAGGAGTTATTTCTTTTAGGATGAATAATCCTATCTAGTTGAACCAAAACCCTGCTTAATTAATTTACACACTAGATTAGTTTAAGTTATAATTGATCTAGAATATATTAGAATTTTTTTAATTTTAAGAATTATCATAAAATATTTAAAAAATATTAATTATCTTAAAATCATATCATATTACTTCTGAAAAGTTAGATTGATTTAGTAAATATTTAATAAGTTACACTCCAAATTAAACTAAGTTACATTTGATTATAATACTAATTTTTAAGATCTCAAATTTTGATAATTAATTATCATAAATTTTTTAATAGTAAAAAAATAATATTAATCATTTTAAATCATGTCCTAGTAGTTCTGTAAAAATTTAGATTGGTTTAATAAAAGTTGATCAAGTTATATTCAAAATTGAACTAAGTTAAATCATAGAATCTATTCAAAAAATAATAATAATTTTGATAATTAAATATCATAAAATTTTATAAATATAGAAAATGTGATACTAATCATCTTAGAATAATGGGCATATGATAACTAGTAATCTTGGATGATGATGATAAATTTTGATGATGTTAAAGCAACAACCATTGGATGATGATAAATTTTGATGGATGTTGCAAGATCTTGTAATCTTCTCCATTATTTGTGCACTAAGGATTAAGTTCCAATGTTTCCCACATGCAGGAATATCATCTATATGATAACTTCTAATTTACCGATCATATTAAAGCAACTCGCAAAAGTTCATCATATGTTTTCCTTGTCGAATCAATAATGAAAAGAAATATACTAAAGACAATACTTGAGGAAACATAGATGATAGCAGATTATTAAACAATGCAACACCACCTGAACATAAATGGCACAAATCCAAGTAAAATATACATACCTTGTGTGCTTTCCGAATTAAACACAAATATTGCGCTATCCTGCTTGTCACAAGAGTGACACTCAGGTCCCCTATGATCTGAAGCAGCAGACCAATCATTTCGTGGAAGGAAGACTAAAGGGAGAAGAAGAAAACAGGCTTTAGGTGCTGGAGGAGGATCTCTCTCTCTCTCTCTCTCTCTCTCTCTCTCTCTCTCTCTCTCTCTGTGCTGGAAGGGAGGATGAGCCAACAAAAAGAACAAAGAGAGGAGATGGAAACAACGAGCACATCATTTCCTTGTTCCCTTGGTTGCACTCGTCCCCATGTGACGTTCATGGTCCCAAGCTGAAGCTGACCCATCCCTCTCCTACCAGCACCTGTTTCTTGGCCAAGTGATGAGATGACACCAAGAGTTGTTTTCATCCCCTTGTGAGGACAGAATGCATGGCCTAACATGGCTTGTCCATCTTCTCACCCTCTTTCTGCTTCCCATTCCTCAAATCATTCGTGCCTCCACCTTCATTCTTCCATTTCCTTAACCTTGGGCTTGCAAATGTACTCGAGCAACTTCACTTTCGGGCAAGACCCACTCTGCTCTACAAATTGACCGGTGTCGGCGTACCGCGACAATTATGTCGTGCCACTTCCTCGAGGCCGTGCTATGGGGATAACCTGAATGGCCTGATGACAGCCATCGATTTGATTCCATTGTTTAGCAACATGGAAGTGAACCCTTTTTTCTGCTTTCTATCTGATTTAGCAGGTCCAAGAATAGCTTTAAAGATGATGTCGAGAAATCAAGCTTTTCCATAGAACCAACAGCAATCTTTAATGATTGAACATTATTTTCTGATCCTTCACACCAAAATTCTATTAATTGCAGGTAGTATGATCTGATTGACATTCTGAGACTTGGCACTTTTTTGTGGAACGTTGAACAGAGTATGATTTGGACGGACTACAAGTATGTCCTGTATTCATTCTGGAGTTCTGATTTAGTGATACCCTTGGCTATTAATAATGCATTTGTGGAACTGTTCCAATTCTCTTTCTTCCCTTTGTCACTAATTGCTCGAAGGAAAGAGGCTATCTTACAGAAAAGATAGCGGTTGTGTCAAATTGTGCTTGAACATGGAGAATTTCTTGTTGGCTTTATGATTAAGAGGTTGCATGAAACTATTGGGAAATGCTTCAGAGGAACAACGACTCACATCTTTATGGCAGCAACAAGAAACACAAAGGGAAACACAAAGGCTGGTTTGATGGTATATGAAAGACTAAAAAAGAACTGAAATTATTCCTTAATATACAATTTGACATCACTTGGGTTTTCACAACAATATGGTTATTTGGTTACAAAAGCGTATATAACCTTCGGTTGAGAGAAATAGCAAACAGCAAACCTAGTAATGAAAGAGAAATAAAAGTCCTTCCTGTTCAATTCTTTCCCTGGAGAGAGAGAGAGAGACAGAGAGAGAGAAGAGGCTTTTCCTCGACGGATCAAAGCACACAAAGTTCTGCAAATCCGCATGACAAGAAGGTTATGCAGCATATCTCTTATTTGTAAAGGCTTCCTCCTAATTCAGTGTTCCTCTACAGCTATCTTCATCCTCCATTACTGGTCTTGTCCCTGAAACAGTTAGAAGGGAAAGTTTATAGCAAACTCCTCCTCGAGAGGAACGAAGTGAGGAGAACTTTAAAGCAGGGCGACTTGGAACTTACGATTGATTTCTTGCAGTGAAGGATTGCATCATATATTGAGATATCAGCATTACTGCGACACCATTCTATGCCTGACAAGGCACTGCTCGTCCTTGGGGAACTTCTGGCCGAATACTTGCAGCTGCTTGTTGATTTCGAAGAGGTCAGTCTGAAATCTTTCACCATCTTATACAAGGGTAGCAGAAAGCAGAAGTACTCGCACAGAATCTTCTTTGGCAATTTTGCGCAGTTCCTGACGAGACGCGAACTCAACTTTCCACCTCTACTCGAAGCTTGATTATTATTGTAGGGCGAAGAACATGATGAGCTCATCCAATTGGGAGAGCTGCTTGCAGTGTGGAAAAGAGGCGATGAGGTGGGAGAAGTATTGGCTCCTTCTCGAACCGCACAACGCGGTCTGCTTAAACTGGAACGGCGTGCAACCAGGGTTTCCGGCGGACCAGGAACGTGAAGTGGAAGGAGGAGGCCATTGGAGAAGATCTTGTCGGCATGGACCTGCGGCGCCGGACGTTGCGTCGACGTCGGGAGGACGAAGCCGAAGCCGTTGATGGCGTCGCTCGTCCAGCGCATGGAGATGAAGCCGGGGTCGATCTCGATGAAGGAGCAGCCGCCGCCGTCGGGGGCGTCGAACGAGCGGTGGCTGTCGCCGAGGGAAGCGCAGGATTCGGCGTTGATCAGCCACCGGTAGGAGAAGCTGTCGCCGAGGAGCTGCTCCTCCGAGGCCTCCATAGACGACGCTGCAGGGGTGGGAAGTAAGGCCGGAGGAAATGGGGCTGAAAAGGAACGAGGGAGACATGCATTCATAGATAGATAGCTATATAGACGCTGGATGATCACATCTCAAGGGAGTCAGTCGGGGATTGATGATGAGATGACCACGGCACCCGTGACTTGGACTTGGGAGGGAGACATCCTCATGATTCCAAAATCCGCAACACATATTTTAGATGAATTATGGGCTCTTCTACTTTGAAGACAATAATTATAATTAGAAGATTACGTGGCATGACAAAAAGAAAAAGTGATGCAACGCTAAGGATGGTAGATGGCACCGATTCATTTTTGCCATTTTAATTCGCAGGAAGACATGCATGAAATTAAGCAGCAAGGATCGTTGAACAATTCGTAACATGGATGAGTAGGCAAATTTAGATGGACTCGCAGTGGAGGTCCATTAGACGTGTACATCCCGGAGATGGTGCCGCAAGTGGGTGACAAACAGGCATGACATCTCAATTCAATTTAACCGGAATTATTAGTGTCGATGCACGTAACCATAGTTTTCTTTTCACGAACTATTATTAGTATTCTTTTTTGCCTTCTTACGTGGCCATCCCCACCAATCCGACGTGTGAAGTCTGCGTCCCATCACATGGTCTTCATGGATTAAACCAGCGAGCACATTCTAATAGAAAGTTTGTAGGATGAGATTTATGCTTTTGAAATTTAAACATTAACAAAAAGCATGATAGTATTTATGTTTTTTTTTTGAAGTCTTTACGAAATTAGTTAACAAATTGACATCTTTCAATATATCGGATCAGATTTTACATCACCACTATATCAATATTTAAGGTAAAAGGATCCAATACATAGTTACTAAACCAAAGTTTAAGATGCAAGATGTATGGGATGAGACATTTATGATATTCTTATACAATCAAGGAGTTTTGCATACATCATTTAAATTTCTTCAAATAATAAGAGACATCCAGAAAAGTCAAAATAATAGTTTTGAATTTATGAATTAAAAATTTATGCATAAAAAATAAAATAATCTAAAATAAACATTAATATTTTTAGCTATGTGGTAATGATATAATAAATTCATGTTCTAATTATCAATCATCTTAAGGTAGCTAATAGAGGTTCATTACAATGATAAATAAATAAATAAATACATATTTGCATGTGAAAATATTTTTGTTTAAAAAAGATATTTTATATGTGATACTTAATTTGAAGCTTAGCTCTCTAGATGACTAATAATGTGTGTTTGGTAGAAAAGTAAGGGACAGGCAAACCAACCGGACTGACTCTTTCCCTCTCATGTTTCCTTCATCGGAAAGCTTGACTAACTTGGAGTTATGATGAGTTCTCTACGTCCAAATCAGTGTAATCAATTCCTTAGAAAAAGGAAGGAACTCAATCTTCAATCTTGTCTCCCACAAAAACAAATCTTCGAGCGCTGCCCGCCCTGTCTCACTCATTCTTCATGAAACGCAAACTAATTAATGAAAAGAATAAAGTGGGATCTTACTCGAAAGAATGCATGATAAGCATCATCTTGACTTTGTGAAGCACAAGGAGTACATGTTGCGTGCATCATCCTGTATACTTGCTTGCCCTAAGGCTCTAATATCATACTTTACTGCTTTCATGAAGTGCAAGTGGACATTGATAGACGCATGGGCGTTGTACAGGGAGAATACAACAAAGTGTGCAATGGAGGAGACGCAGTCACTATTTTCGAGGTCTAAGAAGAATTAGTGTATAAAGACTCCTATATGTTTTGGTTTCATGATAAATTACTATGGAATCAATTTTATCATTTTGAAAAGCAACAAGAATCTTTATATATATATATATATATAATATAACATAATGTAATATAATATAATATAATATAAAATCTTATTGATATTATAACAGTTTGACAAGTCAATCAGTTTGAAGAATTCCAAGATTCTAATTTTGCATCAACAGCGACAGATTGGTTTTATATCACTCGAGCTTCTTTTGACCTCCTTGAGCCGATCGAGGATCTCCAGTCGTTGAGATGCTTTTTGCATGACGCCACAGTGGCCTTTTCTGTGAAGGAAATGGAAGCATACACACATTCTAACGTCTTAAACAAATCATAAAATATCTCACAACTTCATAAGCTGGGAACATTAATTACTCACGGATGGACAAGTAATTATCAAGTGGATGTAATTCTTATTTGGGAACTAACCGAAAAGGATAATGACTATCCAAAAAAATAAAAATACTAGTACATGATGATACGACATGAAAATATAGATCCAAAAGAATATGGATTCATAAGTTACAACAGACGGTCCAACGAAAGGTTAGGGACGGTATAACATTATAATCTTATGGATTTTGTTATAAGAATGCAAGACTATAACTTGGATAGATAATATACCTCCATAAAATATTTAATATTTTTAACCTCATAAACAATTCGATCACATGACATTTATAACTTGTTCGACTATTTTAATAGTTCATATCGATAAGAAATTTTACAGAAATATTATACCATCAAAACCTGAACAAACTACATAATCATCTTACAATCCAATAAGTCATTCATCATCATATACTCACAAAAAATATTGTATTATATCACAGTCAGCATTAGTATATTTACATAATTATAAAATTATTATCTGAGATCCAAAATAATTATATTTCACATTAATATTATACAAGTCCAAAATATTGGAGGATTCTAAATAATAACATTTTCCCTCAAACATGTCTACATAATAAAATATTTTATTATTCTAAATAATAAAATATTGGACTATTCCTCTAGATCTAATTTTTTTTTTAAATAAATATATGACCAAATAATAGCTCAGTAAGCACCATAATTCGTACACCAAAAGAAATTTATTATAAATGCATATAAATAGAATAAGTACTTTTTACATTTAATTTTTATTTTAAGAGAAAAGCATATAAAAGAATCTAATCATTGTTAATATTTATATCAAATACAATACAAAAAATTTACATTCGTTTCAGATTAAACAAAGTCATAATTATAGCTAAATGATGATGACCATCTATCCATAATTTAAATAAATATAGCTAAAGATGCTTATCTAAATTCATAATAAATATCACTATATGTAAGAGTACATGTCAAAATTCACATTCATAATAATGCTAATGGGTACGATGATGATAGGACTTAGAATCATGTTTCACTCCATGGTATAGGCAACACATATCTTCATGCCCGAAAAACCCTTGTTTTTGAATATGTTTCAATATATAATTTCTATTGGTAAAATCCAAATCGTAGTCATATTAGTCATGAAATATCATGCATCAAATACATTTAAAAAATAAATATTTGAACAAATTCTCTTTTATCTTTTTATTTCAAATCTAACAATTCATATAATATTTAAAACTAACAAGAATCAATCCTTTTGAATAATTAAAATATCGAACCAATACTTTCAAAGTTAATACATATTTCATTTAATAGGTGCAAACCATCATACATTTGCATAAGTCTCAAACATATACATTAATTAAAGATGCATATACATTATTTTTAAAACAAGTTAAATAGATTTATTGGATACATAGATCCTTAACTCACTTAATAATCAAAACACTCATTCTCCTAATTATACACAAAATTTTCTTCATTAATAATCCATAAAATAAAACAAACATCATATGTAAATTATTTTAACGATTCTAATTAGTCTAAGAATTTTTATCAATTTCTTATACACTATAAGCACATTTATAACTTGCTAAACATGCTTTATCTCTTTTTTTTTTTCATCAAAGACCTTATCTTGTTAGGATCAAGAAGTCGGTACTAAGAGAGGGTGAATTAGTGCAGCGATAAAATAACGTCGGTTTAAAAACTTCGTTACAAGAAAATCGGTTTCGTAAAGATGTTAACTTGAAAGCGTGTTTGTAAAAGAGTAATGGATGTAAAGAGCAAGTAAGGAGGTTTGCAGTTAAAGTAAATTGCACAAATAAAATGCAAACCAGATTTTAGAGTGGTTCGGTCGTTGTGACCTACATTCACTTCGTCGATTCCTCTTCCGTTGAGACCATCGGCATCCACTATTGGTCTTCCTTCAATAGGCGAAGACTAACTATCTTTTATACCCCTCTTCTCCTTTTCCTGGGTTTAGGAGACAACCATTAGAAGCACTTACTCCTCTCTTACAGAATTCTAAACTTAGAGTGGAGGAGGGAATTTCTAAAGAGATTGCAGCAACGTTTCTTCACTTTTAAACTCTCTGTGCTTGTGTCTTTTAACCAGGGATGAGAGGGGTATTTATAGGCTTCAAGTTGATTCAAGCTTGGAACCTAAAACTTTCTCATCCTGGGTTCCCCGGGCATGGGTGGTACCACTGCCCAGTATTAGTTTGACACTAACACTGCCCAGTGTTAGTCTGACACTAACACTGCCTTGGGCAGTACCACCACCCAAGTCTGGTGGTACCACCACTTGGGGGGCAATGCTGGGCAGTACCACTGCCCAGACTGGTGGTACCACCGCCTGGCACCCTGCCAAGGGCGGTACAACCACCCAGACTAGCGGTACCATCGCCTGACACAGTTTCGAAGACTATGCCACGACGGTGAGACTTCTTGGGACATTGTTTGGGCCTCTTATTAGGCCCAACACAATCCTTACATGGGCCTAGCTAGCCCCTAATTAGGTTGGCCCAAATCCAAACCCAATTACGTGCTAACTACGAAATCTAAGACATAATCTGAGCTAAACAAGCCTATAAGTCTATTCTTCCGGCGAGCTTCCAGCGATCTTCCGACGAACCTCCGACGATCTCTCGGCAATGTTTCGGCGGACTCCCAGCAAGCTCCTGGACTTCATGACGATCTTCTTGGCAAGTTCTGATGAGCTTCTCTAGCAAGCTCCAAAACTTCTTGGTTGGTTCCGACAGAACTTTCAACGAACGTCCGGACTTCCGACGAACTCTCGAACACCCAACGAAGTTGCATCTTTGACTCCGGGACTTCATTTTGTTTCATGCCTTGCTATCGTAG